AAGGATGAAATTTCACGAGATTTTGAAAGTAAAATAGATCGATACCGCGTTTTTAAAAATCAATTTGATATCAGCATATGAAAACATATTTGAGTATATTATTTTTAAAAGTGTCAGAAATGGATAACAAAACTGCTATTTTCAATGACTACTTATTTTTGTCCAGCTTTAACATCGGTATCGATATCGATTATCGGCTACATGAGTTTTAAAATATCGGCATATCGGATATCGGCCAAAATCCCAATATCGTGCATCCCTAGTTGTAGGTTTTTGAGTTGAGTCCACCCTCCCTTCAAAGAGGTGGCCAGGCAGGGACCAGTGTGCCCTGAGGGATGATTCAAAGCTAATAGGCCCTGAAACCAGTCAGGGTCAATCTAGACCAGGGGTCAGAAACCTTTTTAAGGCTTACAGCTTCTTCACGGTCACTGGGTCAAAGGTAGAGCTACCAATACTGACCCATTAACTCAGATACTCGGAGTCAACAAAACGTCAGGGAAAATAAACATGCTTTTAATATTTCTTTTAAATTCTGATACATTTTTCTTATATATTGTCATTTTGAAATCTCTCTTAATGCATGTGTGATTTAATGCTTTGATGACCCCTAGTCCATAGTGATCACAACCAATAGGAAAATGTTCCTGAGTCCCTTGCTTCATGTTTATACATTATTGCTGTTTAAATTAGTGGTTCCTCATAATATGAACATTAAATGAGTTGAGCTGTTGTTCTTTATCTGTAATTATATAGAAGACTCCCAGATTCTGCAGAGATAAACTCTCATAGTCCACTTTCTTGTAACTAATTAATTGCTGTATTTTTACCGTCAGTTTTTGGTTGCCTTTAAATTTCAAAGTAGGACTTTCCACATAATGCCTTTCTAAGGGTCTGCTCCTATATGACTTATGATTGTATCCCCTATGTGTAACACATTGCTTAATTGCTGTTTTTCTTACCTTGCATTCCCCTTCGACTGTTAGCATCCGTCATCTTTTCTGATTGGTGCATTTCTCTTTTTTTTTTTTTCTTTTTTTTGGATACAAGTCTCAGTTTGATTTTGCAGGACTGTTTGAGTCGGTTGTGAATACTTGTATTTGCATGGCGTTTGTACCCC